GGGTCCCCATGAGTGGGGGTCTCCATGAATGGGAATCCCCATGTTGTAGGGTCCCAACGAGTGGGGGTCCCCATGTCCCAATTCCCTCTGTGTACCCGGTGAAGGTGGAGCAGGTTGGGGACAGCTGCCAGCTCTTGGTCACCTCACCTGGGACCCTCAGGTGCTGCTGGACCGTCCCTGCCACCCAGGACAGTGCCAGCCCCGGCCCCACTGCGGGGTGCCAGCTCTGTCCCCCACCCCTGCGACTGCCCCCCCAAACCCGCGAGTGACATTTCTGTCCCCAGCACGGTGACAGCCACAGCGCCAGGGGAAGGGGACAAGGATGGAGGCCGCGTCCTCCCCACCCCGTTCAGGCGACCCCCGGGATGGCGGCAGGACCCCGGGACTGGAGCGCTCCGGGGCCGGGGAGTTCCCGGTGCTCCCCCCGGGATGGGAATGGGGCGGTCCCGGTGGTCCCGGGGGTGGAAACGGGGGTTTCCCGGTGGTCCCGGGGGTGGGAAGGGGGAACGGGGGGTTCCCGGTGGTCCCGGGGATGGGAAGAGGGAACGGGGCGATTCCGGTGGTCCCGGGGATGGGAACGGGGTTTTCCGGGTGTTCCCGGGGGTGGGAAGGGGGAACGGGGCGATCCCGGTGGTCCCGGGGGATGGACGGCGGTGATTCCCGGTGCTACGGAGGACGGGAGGAGGGAAGGGGGGTCCGGGGCGGGAGGTGCCCGGTGCCCCGGGAGGTTGGCCGGGGTTTGGGGGGGGGTCTGTCCTTGTCCGGGCCGGCGGGAGCGCGCGGGGGCGGCGGGAGCGCGCGGCGCGCCCTCGCCCGGGGCCGGGACCGGGATCGGGATCGCGAGGCGGAGCCCGGGAGCGGCGGGAGGCGGCGGCTCCGGCTCCGCAAACTTTCCCGGAGCGGCGGCGGGGCCATGGGCCGCGGCCCGCGCTGAGCACCATGATCGCGGCCGGGGGCTGCCGCGGCGCCGGGCGGCTGCTGCTGCTGCTGCTGCTGGCCGCCCTCCGCCCCCCCGCCGCCGCGGAAGGTGGGTCCCACCGGGGAGCTCCGGGGAGCACCGGGGACACCGGGAATCGGGGCGACTCCGGGCCGCGGGAGCGTCCCCGCGCAGCGACTTGGCGCAAAGTTTTGCACGGGATCGAGCGGGACCGGGGGGGGCACCGAGAAAGGGAGGGGGGGACACAGGGGGGGCGTGACCGAGCGGGCACCGGGGGGGGACATCGGGGGTGGGACCGAGTGGAAAACCGGGAGGGGACGGTGGGGGGAACCGAGGGAGCAGCGGGAGGGGACGGTGGGGGCCTCGAGTTGGAACGAGGGGGGCACCGGGGGTGGGACGGGGCAGCTCCGAGAGCGGGTCGGGGGCACCGGGCCGGTGTGCCCGGGGGGCTGCACGGTGGGAAGTGACGGGACCGCCTTCCCCCGCTCCTCTCCCGGTCCCCCCGCTGTTCCCTCGGTGCCCCCGGTTCTCCGAGCGCGGTGTCCCCGCGCCGCGGGTGGCCGCCAGGACTGGGGGCCGAACTGGTGTGTACTGGGAGGCGCTGGGGCCAGGCGGGAGGCCCTGCCCGCTGCGCCCCGGTTCCCCCGAGCGGGACGATTCCCGGGAGGAATTTAGGGGCTCCGGTGGAGCTCGGAGCGGGGACCCCCCCGCGCTGCAGCCGGTCCCAGGGCGAGAACGGGGGTCCCCAACTTGTGGGGGTTCCCTTCCCGTGGGCATGGGGAAGCTTCGGGGTGCGGGGCAGGCTGGGTGGGTGGGTGGGTGGGTGCGTCCCCGTCGCTCCCATCCACATTCTCGACGTGCCGCACCCAGCCCAGCCCCGGGGGGAGCGGGGAGCCCGGCCCGACAGCCCCCGGGCCTCGGCCACGCACCCGCACCGCGCCGGGGCCGGCAGGGCAGGGGGCTGCTGGCCCCAAAGCGGGCACCAACAGCCCCAAAAGTTGGACCCTGCTGCCTCCCTGTTGGGGGGCAGCTCCAGCAGCGGAAAGTGAATGCCCGGTGGGACTGAAGCAGCGCGAGGTGGTGGGACAGGGACGTGGGGACACACCGGGTGGCCTCCACAACTCCCGGCACCCCACAGCTCACGCTGCTTGGAGGGTCCGTGTGGGGCGAGCTCCTGGTTAGGGACACCCCGGTGTCCACGGGGCCGGGTTGGTGGCCGGCAGCCCCGGGGGCGCGTGGCCGACGGGCTTCGCTGGACACCCGTGGGCAGCCGAGCTGCTCGGTGCTGGCACCGCCCGCTGGAGAGCCGGGCAGGGTGGATCCGTGACCTGGGCGAGCAGACAAGGCCAAATCCTGGGGCGCGGAGCCGGGATCCCACCAGGACCCGGCGCTGCCGCGCACTTGTCCCACCTGCCCTTTGCCCCGGGGAAGCCCCGGCACGCCGTGCCCGGCACAGCCGCTGTGGGCACAGACCTTGAGCTTTGTCCCAAGGCGCGTTCCCTCCCGGGGTCCCCCCGTTGCGCGGCCGCTCGGGTGGGACACAGCAGAACCCCAAATTCGGGGGGCTTCCTCTTTCCCGGCCGTTTTCTCCCTGGCTCAGAGGCCTCGGAGCAGGCGGGGGAGGCGAGTTCCAGCCGGGTCGCCTGGACACGGGGCCGCGGCCGCAGCTGCCCAGCACCGGGGGCTGTCACTCAGCCTCGGAGCAGCCGGGAACCGGCGCACCGAGCCGCGCCTGACCCCCGTGTGCCCCCCTGTCCGCCTGGGACGGCGGCGCCCCGGGGCTCTGGCAGTGACACCGCGCTGGGCTCGGGGTCGGGCTCTGGCGTGGGGGGCTCTCCCCGGCGAGGTGTTGGGGTGCCGGGGGGCCGCGGGCGCGCCGGGGCTGGGCCGTGCCCGCCAGCCCTGCGTCACCGCTGCTCCCCAAACACGCCCGACCTGAAAAGGCGGTTCCAGGCGGGAGCGGGCGGCCGGGGCCCCGTGCCACCCGCGCCCGTGACTCACTCGCCCGGGGCTTGGCACCCGGGCCGGGCTCCCGCGCCCCCCGCCCCGCCCGGGTGCCGCGGGGATGCTCGCCCGGTCGGCAGCCCCCCGGCAATGCGGCCGGCCGGGCCCCGCAGCCGTCGCCGCTCAACAATCGGGTCTTGTTTCGGCGCGGCCGCCCCGGCGGCGTGGGCAGCGCATTCCTGCCCGCGGCCCCCGCTCCGGCCCCGCGGCTCTGGGGGTCCCAACCCGGCCCCCCGCAGTCCCCGGCCCCCGCCGCGGGCACGGGGCGACACCGGTGCCCGTTGTCCCTCGAGCGGGGCCCGGTGCCAGAGCGGGAGCAGCTTTGCCGCGTGTGCCGGGGTGGGAGCCGGGGGGAGCCGCGATCCAGGAAACCCATCGGAAGCTGTTGGGAGCAGCCCCGGAGATAAACGGCGGCCGCCGCATCCGCGGCGTTTCCTGCGGGGGCCGGAGCTCCACGTCCCACGGGGGAGTGAGAGGGCTTGGGGACGCGCTGAGCCCTCGCTGTCCCCGCAGTCTGCACCGGCACCGACATGAAGCTGCTGCGTCCCTCCAGCCCCGAGAGCCACTACGAGACCCTGCGGCACCTCTACCAGGGTTGCCAGGTAGTCCAGGGCAACCTGGAGCTCACCTACCTGCCCGCCGACGCCGACACCTCCTTCCTCAAGGTGCGCAGCGGGAAACGCCCCGAGGGGATGGAAGGACGAGGGTCCCCCCAGCCCCTCACCCGTGTCCCCCCGGCCCCTGACCCGTGTCCCCCCCATGC